CTCCTTACCCCTCAACTCCGTTCCCTCTCAGAGTTCTCATTGATAAAAACAGGAATCTGCCTCATGGGTTTGGATAAATTAGATAAAATATAAATTAAATAAAAAAAATATTAGCTGGGTGCCAGTGACTCAAGCCTGTATTCAGGAGGCTGAGATCTGAGGGTCCCAGTTTGAAGCCAGCCTGGGAAGGAAAGTTTGTGAGATTCTTATCCCCAACTAAGCACTAAAATAAAAACTGAAAGTGGAGCTGTGTCTCAAGTAGTAGGAGTGCTAGCCTTGAGCACAAAAGCTCAGGGACAGCACCCAGGCCTTGAGTTCAAGCCTCAAGACTAGAACACACACACACACACACACACACACACACACACACACACACACATTTATTTTTTACACTTCCATCATCATCAGTTAGCAGTGTCAGTAAAGCTCTTACACCTGTGGCAACGATGGCTCCAACAACAAACTTGTGTGCTTCTGTATGTGAGAGTTCTATGGGAGAAAATTCCATGGGAAGTTCTTCAGTAAGAACTTAAGAAAAGCCCCAGAGATGGTTCGTTTTGCTTTTTTGTCCCCACCCCCACCCCGCCCGCTTATTATGCAGCTTAACTCAGAGCCTGGATGCTGTTGCTTAGCTTTTTGCTCAACACTGGTGCTCTACCACTTGAACCATAGCTCCACTTTTTGGCTTTTTGTAGTTAATTGAAATTAAAACTTTTTAATTTTTAATTTTTTAACTTAAAAAATCCTTTTTTTTTTTGCAAAGTTGGATTTGATAATTACAAAAGCCACTTCCAGATTCAATGAGATAAAAGTTCATAAAGATTTTGAGGCATAATAAAAAGTGAAAATATAATAAAAATAAATCTTTAGGTAGCTACAGATTAGGCACCTATTACTACAAAGGCTCCGCATTCAAGATGGAAATAAATGACAGTACACATTTTGCTGTGATAGAAACTGCCACAAATGCTTTGCAGATGGAAGCCATTTTTATACAGAAGGATGCAGTATAAGGTGGATGAAAGATGTGCATGAAATTCAAAATACTCAAAGCATTTTTTTTTTTTGGGTCCGGTCGTGGGGCCTGAACTCTGGGCCTAGGCACTGTCCCTCAGCTCTTCAGCTCAAGGCTAGCGCTCTACCACTTGAGTCACAGAGCCGCCACTTCCGGGTTTTTTCTTTTTGCTTATGTGGTGCTGAGGAATTGAACCCAGGGCCTCAGGCATGCAAGGCAAGTGCTCTACCACTGAGCCAACTTCCCAGCCCATCAAAGCATTTTAAAAAGATTGTCTATTTCCCCATGACAAAGTGAATTACAAGTTACATTATTTTATCATATAGTTACTGCAAAAAGTAGTTACTTCCAGATAAGAAAACACATCTTCTTTCAGACAAGAGATAGATGCCTTTATTGAACCAATGACATTTTTTCAATTTTCAAAAAAAAATACAAAATATAATATAGTCAATAACAATACCAGCAAATTAAAAACCACTGCGTACCATTTTTTATTTATTAAAAGCGTTCATTCAATAAGACAGCACACTTGTAAATATAAACACAACACACACACAAGAAAAAGAGGAAATTTCACAAAATTGTCTAGAAAATAAATACTTGGCAAAATTGCCACATCTTGAAAATAAGGGTGACTTTTCGAAGACACCTAATATGAAGGCCATGTGTCCTTTGTACCATGATTTCATCCAACCTCTGTTCCTATCATGAAAGGTTTTAATTCTCACCAGACCTTGGTGGCTCACACCTATAATCCTGTTTTTAAGGCTGAAATCTAAGGATCTCAATTCCAGCCCATGCAGGAAAAAATCCATGAGACTCTTATTTCCAATTAACCAATTAAAAAGCCAGAAGTACAACTGTGGCTCAAGTGGTAGAACACTATCCTAAGCAAAAAAAGCCACATGAGAGTTCAAACCCCAATACTAGCACAATATTTTTTAATCCTCATCCTTCCTTTGTCCTGTTTTTTAAAATTTTTGTTTATTTTCTTCTTATTGTTTGTGCAGGTCCTGGGGCTTCAATTAAGAGTATGGGTGCTATCCCTGAGCTTTTTTGTTCAAGGCTGGTGTCCTACCACTTGAACAACAGCACCTCTCCCAGTTTTTTTTTAACAGTTAATTGGAGATAAGAGTCTCATGAACTTTTAAGCCCTGGCTCTAAGTGCGACCCTCAGATCTCAGATTCCTGAGTAGCTAAGATTACGGGCATAAGCCACTGGTGCCTAGACTATAACTTCTCGCTTTAAGCACAAAGGAAGAAGATAAGGAAAGGACCAAAACTAGATATGATCAAAGGAGTCAGAATTTTTTTATGCTGGTATTTGAAGAAATTCAGGTAAAGCCAAAGCTCAGACCTAAGCTCAGAAGACAAGAGAGCCAGAGAATTGAGATGTCTTGTGAAAAGCAGGAACTACCACTCAAAATTTCACCCTGTGCTGGTTAAGTTTGCATAAATGTGGTAGTGAGGTAAACCAAATAATTAATGGCTATGTAACCACTACTCAATCATTGGCATGGACCAAGACCCCAAACAACAGGCCTCTGGTAAACAGTGCTTTAGGCATGGTCTTCATGTTACTTCGAAGTTCATACATATAAATGTCAAGGCATAGTTCTGACCATTCTATCTGGGTAGACAGTCTATGCACACCTGAGCCTATAAGAACAATGTGACTGCTCAATCAGCCTAGATCTCTGAGTAAAAATGACAGTAATATACAATAACAAAAAGAAAAGAAAAGACAAGACAGTGTTATTTTAAGTCAGTGAGCTTTGGTGGGGATGGGGTTGTTACTGCAACATACACTAGATGATGACACAATCTAACTCAATTGAAACATCACTTTTTCATTAGAAAGAAATGTTGAGGCATAATTATAGCAAATGCTATTCTAATTTATCTAAAACAAAAGAAATTTGAGCCGGGGACCGGTGGCCCACACCTGTGATCCTAGCTACTCAGGAGGCTAAGATCTGAGGATCACGGTTCAAAGCCAGCAGGGGTAGGAAGGTCTGTGAGACTTTTATCTCCAATAAACAACTCAGAAAACCGAAGTTACTCTGTGGCTCAAGAAGTCAAGTGCTCGCCTTGAGCTGAAGAGCTGAGGGGCAGTGCCCAGGCCCAGAGTTCAAGTCCCATGACTGACCAAAAAAAAAAAAAAAAAAAAAAAAAAGAGCTATCATTATTATATGGTAGCATATATATAGATAGATAGATAGATACATGTTATTAATAACTACTGACTAAAAGTCTTTTTCTCCCATCCCCTGCCCCTCCAAAAATAAAAAAAAAAAAACTTCCCAAAGAATATGGATAATCTGAACTCTTCAAAATCTCAAAGAATAAAAAGGGCCCATGTTGATCCTTGGGTCAAAATCATTTGCAGAGCTCCACCTCTTTTCCAAGACCAAGTACATTAATCACATGCATCACTTCAAAGAGGCTTCGCTTTAAGGGTCCCAACAGATAAATAAACTAGCTGCCAATGGCTCCTTTGTATTGAAGGGGGAGGGCAGGCTGACCCAAGGGAAGAGGCCTAAGTAAAAAAAGGAAAACATTTAAGCAAAACCAGCACTAGGCACCTTAAGCAAACCAAGCAGCCCTCTCATTTCCAAGGGTGTTAAGTCTGTGCCAACACAGATGTGTTTACTAACAGGAAACGTCCAGTGTCCATGTCTGATTGATTTCTCCTATGCTACAACCAGAGGCACGTTTCTGTGTGGGACACCTGTCTGAGCATTATGCTGTGTGACAGCTATAGATATGATCCTATATAGGGCCTCTACAAAATGTGCACTTTGGTGCCACATAACTCTGGAAGACCTCCTCCTTCCCCTCCCTTTCCTTTTCCCCCCCTCCCCCCCCCTCCATCCTACAGGGACTTGCACTGCCTGGACACTGTCACTTACTTTTTTCACTCAAGGCTAGCGCCCTACCACTTGAGCCACACGTCCACTTCCAGCTTTTTGGGTGGTTAATCGGAAATAAGAGTCTCATGGATGTGCCTGCCCAGGCTGGCTTTGAACCTGGATCCTCCTCCATCAACTTCCTGAGTCAATTCACAGGCATGAGCCACCAGCACCTGGTTTAGCTGGTGTTCTTTATTCTAGAAAAGAACACCACAGGGTGTCTCCTGTAAAGAAAGGGAGGGGGAAAAAATCCCTTTCTCACTCGCAGAGCTTTCAACTGGTGACTCAGGGAGGGTTGATGTCATCTGTTACCCTGTAACCCTGGCAGGGCTCTCCGGCTCGGCTCCGGCCAGCCCTCCCCCTCCTCCTCCCCCCTCTCCCCTCCCCCCAGGGTGCTGCACTGCCCGGCTTCTCGCCCTTCCCCACCGGCCCCTGCCCAGCCAGCTCCCTTCCCCACCCGCCCCTGCCCAGCCAGCTCCCTGCGCGCACACCGGCCGTGCCAGCCGAGCGCACCAGGCACAGGAAGTCTGCAGGCTGGAGTGTGCAGCGGGCCCGAGAGCTCTCCCAGTGCTGGCACGGCTCCCCCAGAAGTGTACACACACACACACACACACACACACACACAAACACACACACACACGCATGCACGCAGCGCTCCAGGGGCGCAGCCCTTCCCAGCCCACGGGTCCTAATATGGAATGCAGCAGGAAACCCATGATTTCCTGACACTCGGGCGTGCTGGAGGAAGCTAGGGGGAAACTCCATGAAAAAGCCCAGCTTCCTTCCATGTCCGACGTGAGGTGGAAAACAGAGAGGAGTCCGAGGAAGTCCCACCGCTGTGCCCTCCAGGGGGCTGGAGAGACCGAGAGGAAGCGCAGAAGGCGGGGCGCAGGGGGGGACTCCTGAAATGACCAGACTGCCAGACTACTAGAAGTTTGTGGACAGGAAGGTTTCCGTGCCTCGCGTCGACTTAGGGAGCAGGAACTGCGCTGCGATTTCTTGTGTTCACTCGCTCCCCCGAGGATGCTTTGCTTTGCGGTGCGGTGAGCCCGCGCGGCCCTGCGCCCCGCCATGCGCCTGCCGGCCGCCAGGTAGGCGAAGGCGGGCGGCGTGCAGCCGGCGCTCCACGCGCTCTGGAAGCTCCAGCAGCCCCCGAACCCCAAGCATGAGCCGCCCAGAGGGCAGCCAGGGCAGCTGCAGCGGCCGTGCTGGAGGTGCTGAGAAGAAGATGCTGAAGTGCGTGGTGGTGGGCGACGGAGCGGTGGGCAAAACCTGCTTGCTGATGAGCTACGCCAACGACGCCTTCCCGGAGGAGTACGTGCCCACCGTGTTTGACCACTATGCAGGTAAGAAAAAAAAAAAAGCGGGAACCTCTCTCGCTGTCCTGGCGCAAAGTGAGGGAGACGACCCCCCACCCCCCTCCCTGCCCATCATAGGGTCCTGACTTGGTGGCTGGAAAGCCAGCGCGGGGTGGGTGGGGTGGGTGGGGGCGCCCTGGCAGGTTCTTCGTGGTTTGGGACAATATACAACCGAAGGTTTTGCTGGGACTATGAGGAAAATTCGTTCCTCTGTTTGTATGGGATCCACTTAAATAAGTGAAGAATCCTGGGGAAAACTAGCCTCCCTACACTGCCTTTAGACTTTGGGGACCAGAAGTTTTACTTCACATTTGCCTCAAGGTTCATTAACTTTTATAGGGTGAATATATTTTTCAATGTACTGGGATCGTGTCACCAGAAAAAAAAAAAAAAACTATATTCCTACTAAACACACTAGTGAAAGACCTTTTCTTGCTACATTTTTGTCTTCTCACCTCATGCCATTCTGAATCAATAAAAGTGATGGTTATTCAGAACAAGTATTAAGATCAAAAAGCAAAACCCTCTTTTTTCTACAGTACTTGATGCCAAAATGCTGTACTTTGATTTTCCTGGAGTTGTGGTTGGGGAAAAAAGAAATGTTTAAAAGGTTTAAAGTATCAATTAGGAAATCTGTATCTTGGATTTAAAGAAATGATTTCCAATTGCTAAGTTCTTTTTTTTTTTAAGCACAGATACAAATAAAATGGTTTTAATGTGTGTCCCAAAAAGACAACTGGAGCCTAAAATATTTTAAAACGCAACAGTCACAATTTAATTCCTCCATGGATTTGGGGCTTTTGAGTGTTCTCAAGTTCCCAAGACTGGAAATTCGCATCATCAAAATTTCCTCATTTTGATTTTGACTTTTTCTTTTTAACTTCTAAAAACAGTCTTACCACGCTTCTCATCTGTACATCCGTGAAATTCTAGAAGCTTGCAGCAGCTTAGGTTTTATACGATTTTAAACTTAGTCATGGGCACACTGAGTTAACAGAGATTTGAGAGTTGGAGAGAGGATTTCTCTTCCTTTGCCCTGGCTTCAGATCAGGATCAGCAGAGAGGAAATGACCGACAGGAAACCAGGGTGAGTGTTTGCTTTGCTCTGTGGCCATGAAAAAGGAAAAAAAAAAAAAAAGAAAAAAGAACTCCCTCTTCTTTAGGAAGTAGCTTCTTTTCTAGAGTAAGACAATCACCTAAGTGTTTCTTCCTTCAATGTATCCATGATTTACAACAATATTACATAGCAGACAGGAAGCGATCCACAAGAAATATGGTAAATATTCTCCAACAAGTTTTCCATATTTGTAGAAATTATGAGCAAGTTTTAATGCTAGATCTCAAAATAAGCATTCCCAGTGAGCAGCATTTTAATAAGAACAGAATAACAAGAACAGACTTCCATCTTGAGAGAAAAAAAAAAAGCTAATGGTATGGCTCTGTGCTTTGAGAAAGTTCATCTAGTTCTGATCCTGAAAGTATCATAGCAAAAGTTATTTCCTCTCCTTATGTCTGCCAAGAAGAGAAAATTAGCTAGGACCTTATTTCAAAAACTTTTAGATCAAAAGTGGAAACTCAAAACCTACTAAAAGGAGAGACTTCAAACGCTTAGGAAAATTATTTATCCCAATCATTATCAACAGGATGAACCAATTTATAGAAGTCTCAGGAAGAAAGAGAATAAATACATCTTTGGAAATAAATTGACCTATTTAAATTTAAAAATAAAGCATTAGAGCCAGGGCCTATTGGCCCATGCCTGTAAACCTGGATACTCAGGAGGCTAAGATCTGGCACTATTGTCTCCAATTAAGCAGCAATGTAAAGGTATGGTTCAAGGGATAGAGCACCAGTCTTGAGTGAAAAAGCTAAGGGATAGCACCCAGGCACTAATTTCAAGCCCTAATATCAGCACAGAAAAGAGGAGAGAAGAGGAAAAGAAAGAAGAGGAGAGGAAAGAAAAGAAAGAGCATTAGGAATCAAACCAAGGCTGACCTACCACTAGATTCTGCTAGAATCTACTTATTTTATATTCCAATCCTGTATACACTTAATGGCATTTGAGCCTTAAAACTTCTCACAGACTGACTGTATTCTTTCAGCTCCCAAGAAAGCACAGTCACTATGCCCAGAGAAGTCTTTGCATATAGTAGATATCTGTGATGATGGTTGCTAGTGACACTTTAAACTTCTTCAAGTATCCAGAGCCAGTATTCAGTACCTAGGCCCTACCCTGAAATGACAACCTGCAATTTCTTTCCAAGTCTTTAGAAAAGTGAAAGGTGAAGTCAAAGAGAGTCCATCCTGTGAGGATTTTTCTCTAATGATTTGCCCATCCTAGCCAAGTATATACATAATAGTAAAAAAATAAAATAGAAGTACAGCACTTTGCTGACAATGACCACTGAAGACACATGACATTTACTCTGTAGCCTTGAGCAAGTTACTTAACTCCTCTCTGCTTCCATTATGACAAAGTAAAAACAGGACAATAAAGGTGTTGGCTTGTTTGTGAAAACAAAATGACTTCATATACATTTTCAATGCTTGACAGGTGATGTCAGGTTTGTTTGGTAGCTATTATTGAGACTAAGGCTTGTACAGTCACATACACTGTTCTAATACTGAATTAAAAATGGAATTCAAAGATTAGAAATTGGCCTGGTCTGGTGAACATGTCTACCAGCTATTTTGGAGGCCAGGAGTATGAGGAATACAATTTTGAGGCTACCCTGGAAAAAGTTAGCAAGGTCCCATCTCAAAAAACCAAAATACAAACAAAGGGGCTGGGGGCATGGTTCAAGTAGTAGAGTGCTTGGTTAGCATGGGGGAGGCCCTGAGATTCAACCCCAAATACAAAAAGAAAGAGAGACGGAAGTGAAGGAAAGGAAGGGAAAGGAAGGGAAGGGAAGAGAAGGACATAAGTCCAAGGGTATGCTCTAGAAAGAAGAACGTGATGGAGTGTATTACTGTCCATGTAAAATAGCAACCATGTCGCTATTGATCATCGACACACAGGTGCTGGTGGCTCACACCTGTAATCATAGCAACTCTAGAAGCTGAGATCTGAGGATTGTGGTTCACAGCCAGCAGGGCAGGAAAGTCCGTGAGACTCTTATTTCCAATTAGCTACCAGAAAACCAGAAGTGGAGCTGTGGCTCAAGTGGTAGAGCACTCTCCTTGAGCTGAAGAGCTCAAGGACAGCACCCAGGCCCAGAGTTCAAGCACTATGACCCCCCCCCCAAAAAAAGAATAACAACATGTAGATTAACATTAGAGTTTTACATGAATGAGGGCAAAAATAACTGAATCCTGGTTTTATCCCTTCCTCCTAACTGGCACAGTTCAAAAGTCCATCTACTCCATGTGCCTTTCCTTGTTTTTCTAAGGAGAATTCCTCCATCTATCTTTAATCACCTCCCAAAATGTGTCTGCCTCTCTGGGGCACATCTCCCCGCCACTGTGCTGTGGCTAATATGTTTCCTCACTTTTCCACCCCTACTGTGTCCTGAGCACCTTCCTTAAGTAATGTTTTTGTTTTTTGGGTGGTCCGGTCGTGGGGCCTGAACTCTGGGCCTGGGCACGGTCCCTCAGCTGAGGAATCGAACCCAGGGCCTCATGCATGCAAGGCAAGCACTCTACCACTGAGCCATCTTCCCAGCCCCTGAGCACCTTCCTAAAAGAAAAGAGTTAGGACTTGCCAGATCCAGTCCTGATTTGGGTCTGTTGGAAACCTGTGGATGTTCATTTAATCCTCTTCTTAAAAACACTTTCTTCACTTGGGTTCCAGCTTCTCATGTTCTTACTCTACTCAGCTGCAAAGCTCTCTCCATCTTCTTTGCCACTTTCTCTATCTCTTCTCAACAAGTAAATGACTTACAGAATTGTGTGCGTAGGTTTTTACACTGGGGTACACAATGAGTACAATAAGCTTCCATTGAAGTGTGCTCACAATGCACCTGACTTACCCTTCCCATAATCTTCTCTTTCACAGCATGTGACTAAGGCTCTTTCCATACTCAGCAACCTGAGGGCTCTGTGGTCAAGCCCCATCACGTTTGGAAATTCACTGTAAGCCCATGTAGCCAAGCCCAGATTGCCTGTGCAGGAAGTTAACACAATTCATGGAAAAGAGGAAAATTCAGTTACTCTATCAGCTGAGGGAGATATAAAAGGAAGTTGTGTACACAGAGAACTAGAAGCAGTTCTAACTTTTTCCACCAAATAGAAATCAGCCCAATAGCTCAATAACGATGTGCATATGATCAGATAAAATGATGCTTATTCAAATGAACTCCAAGAAGTGGATGCAAGAGGGGCTTTTTACTTTTTGCGGTTCTTTTTTCCCCCTATTTTTCCCTTTTGTCATTGTATTTGATTTCTGTACCTTTTGGCTTGTATGTAAGATTATCTGATTTGGGGAAGGGAAAGCACAGAAACAGTGGGACAAAGGGTGAACTAACCCAGCAGGGTTATTCACTAGACACTATGTTGAAAACGAACTATACAACTTGGAGGGAGGGAGCCTAGGAGAGGGAAACCTGGGAGAAAATGAGGGAGGGATGACATATAGACTCAATACCTTAAATAACTTAAATAACTTAAATAGCTTAAATAACTGTAACCCCTCTGTCTATCACCTCTACAATAAAAACAAAAATAAAATAAAGAAATCAGCCCAAGGTAGAACTCAGCCACAACCATAGTGTCTAGAACAGAGGGGAACTGTGCCCAATCCACAGTAATGGGAGGATTCATAAAATGACCAAGATTGAATAAAAACCAAGTCAGAGATCTACAAAGAGCTGTGAGAAGGGCTAGGAATGTAGCTCAGTGGAAGAGTACTTGCCTAGCAAGCAAGCACAAGGTCCTGGACAAAGTCCTGAGTCCCAGGATTGCAAGAAGACTAAAGAAAATCCTGTTCTAGGATTGGCCACTACACCCACTTACTGGTCCCTAATCCCATGGTGTGTGGCTGAAGTGAACAG